CTTATTGTCCTGCTGGTCCTTACAAGTTGTCTAGAGCAAGACAAGACTGTCAACCTCCCACATTGCATATTCTGGGGAAGATACGTTTCTTACTTCCTTGTAAATCACTAGGGAGGTCAGGAAGGTATAATTTTTCAGAATGTTCACTGTTGAAGTTTGCTGGCCTTTTCAAGAGTGCCAGTATGTGTAGAAGCAGCACTAGTTAGCTAGTGACCATACTATTTACTGAATTATCTTCATTATTAATTTGTGATAAGTGTCATAGATGGAAAATTTCCTTATGATTAACCATGACTGGGGTATTAGAAATTTGCTAGTGACCAGTAATGTGGGTTTGTTGGTAAACATTAGCTGCTTCCCTTATTTGCAACTGGCTTATTCAGTACTTGAAGCTAAGCTTTAGGCACCAAATAGCTTGTAGTTATATTTTAAAGTTTTTAATAATATACTATAAGAAAAAAAAAAATTAAAGTGAAGAATTCTCATCACTAGAAGTGCCTGTATCTAATATGTAGTTCTGACGAAGATATATTCACAGCTGATCAGATACATCTGTGGCACTATGAAGATATTCATTCTCATTCATACCTTTTCTATAAATAGTCAGCACATATTTACAGAAAATGACTATTAGAATGGAGGTCTTTTATAGTATGCAGACTTAACTTGATTCTGCTATGAATAAGATTACTATATTGTTAAAGTGATTTTATTCACTCCTTTTCACTGCATAATTTCCTTAGTACAATTTATAATTTTCCTTCATTATTGTAGGCATTAAAATTTTGATTTGGTTGTTACAACTTTATGATATGGTTAGTTTTCATCCTGAAGAAAACATTTTCTTTGTTTTTGTTTATAAAGACCTTGAGAATAGTCAAAATGTAAATTTAAAAATTGCCAAGAGTTGAAAGATGGCCCAGTTTAAAAACGAGTAGACCTTGGAATTTTTCATTGCACTGATGTGCATATATTCACATATGATTTCTTGAACACTTAGCTATTTAAGTTTGATATTCCTTGATTCATATATTTATATAAAATTATAGTAAACTGATATAATCATTACAATTAAAGACAATTTTTTTTACAGCATGGATTCACCAGATCGGTCAGACACACCTGGTCAGAAGGCCATAGAAGTGTCACAAAACAATATGGAAGTCTTCAAGAAACCCATTCAGCCAGCTCCTCGGAAGAAGAAAAAAGTGTTAGATGAAGATAGTTATGTCAAGGTTAGACAGGAGTTCCTTGCTTAATTTACAATGTCAGTTTTTGCCCTTTTGTTTTTAACCTCCTTTTTATTATCTTGTCATTCTGTTGAGTGAATTATGCTTTGCAAAAACTGTAGATACCATTGTTCACTGGTGTGGTGTACTTGCACCAGCCACTGTGGTTTTATTTTCTTTATTTTGTTTATGCACATAGCCTCACAAGGAAGTCACCAAGGAGTGATTACTAGGCCTACCTACCACATTCTTTGATTTTTTATGGCATGGAAAAAAATATATTACTATTTTGTTGTTTTTACCATTATTTTTTTCATCTTAATCATCATTATCATTATGATTCCTATAACAAAATATGAAACCCCTTTTCTTACTGAAAATTCAAGGAATGGGTAAGTAAATGATGCTCGATAGACCTAGTACTTGATTCCTTGGTGACTAAGCACTAATAAGATAAAACCACATGGTGCAGCACTTGTACTCATGCAGTCCTGGCATTGACATGTTAAAATCATGGTTATCCCATATGTTTTTCTTTTTCTGTTTCAGGAAGTGGAGAAAATAATAGAGAGAGATTTTTTCCCTGATCTGGAGAATTTGAAGGATAGGTTGGAGTACTTGGATGCCAGAGAGCAAAATGACATGGTCAAGTTAAGGGAACTTTACTCCAAATACTCTGCGGGGAAGGAAACGCCTGTCCTCCGCAATGTTGAGGAGAGTCCAGCAACTTTCGAGACTCCCTCTGAGAGCCGAGGAAGTGCAACACCCCGGATGGCAAGTGCTTTTGGAGAAGGGTTGGAAACTCCAGAGACCAATAGAAAAGACAAACAAAGTGACAAGGTCTCTGTGAGTGGGAAAGAGATGTCGCTGGATGAATTCCTTCAAAACCACACAAGTGAAGATAACGAGAGCTTTGAGCAGATAATGGAGAAAAGCGAGCAGCGCTTCAGGGCCAAGGTATGAGGTCATCCTTTTGTGATGAAAGTTGGAGAGAAGTTGTTAATATTTTTTATAAATGACTTTTATCAATGTTATTTCATATTCAAAAAGGTTCACAAGCTTCCAAAATTTTAAAGCCTTTTTTATCTCATACAGTGTCCATTTTCCATTTGCATATACAAACATATATATACATGTACTGAAACAGCTAGCTATTTAATGTTCTTTGCTGATAGTGAAAAAACAACAACTGCAAAGCCTCTGGGCACTGGTTCCCAAACTATCTTGGGGAGCAGTGAAGCTACAGCAAACCTGCCAAATAAATTTATTTACTAAATTATGTTTTATTTGTAAAGTACATGTTTGTCTTTAATCTTGTTATTTTCAATTTGAAGTATACCAAAATAAAAAAAAATGTATGTCCTCATGTGTGTATGAGGGGAGGGGGGTGCTAGGAACCCACCTGGAAGCCAAGGGGACACCAGCTTGGAAAAAACTTGGGAACCAGTGCTCTAGGATAGAGAATTTTCTGAACAATAAATTTCCTTGCTGGCAATTTTTTAATGGTCAGGGCCAAATGTGTAAGTTTTAATTTCAGATATGATTGTATATTGTCTGTTTTTTACATTGCGCTAAATTTCTAGACTTCAAATGTTTAGTTAGGCTGACTGTGTGCATTGATTTCTGTAACCAATAACTTGTTCTTTCTTTCACCTATATCCTTTCCTCACATTTACATAGTGAGAGGTTCTGTAGCTGTCCTGATAAGCAATGCGGATTTATTCTTTTTTTTTCTCTCTCTCTTCTTGCAGTACTATTGGATGTTTGATGCAGAAGAAAAACACAACAAGGAACATTTGCCAAATCTAGCTTTACCAACGGCTGAGCAGCAAGTTCAAGCCTCAACCTTGGCCATCACAGGAACCTCGGTGCAAAATGATACCCGGCCAAAGCAGGTGGAAAATTGGAAATTTGAAACATTCAACTCTGTCATGTTTGTGCCTGATGGTGAGTCTAAAATGCTGATCTACTTTTTTGTTAGTGTAATGTTTACAGTAGTGGCTATGGTTGTAATGGATGAGATATATGATACATTCTAGTATTGTGGCATTGCAAAACAACATAATAACAGCAGTATTTATGATTAATATATTCTATTCATTTTAAACTTCATTTTGATATTTCTTTCACAGCGGCACCTTTATCAAAGACAAGATCTGTAGAACTTGCAAAACAGAAGAAGCGTGAGATAAGCCTTTCAAACACCAGGTTTGAGGGCAACCCCTTTACTGAGACCTTGAGCCAAGCAGCAATGATTGAGGCTTCAGCTATCCAAGCCAGCAAAAAGGAAGGCAAAGTAGGAGTGGATGGTAAGTTCTGTGGGATCCTTTTTGTAGTATCATTATTACTTTTTCTGAAGGTGGAACAACTGCCTTTTTTATCTTTTACTTTATATATGTATGTGTGAGTGTGAGTGTGAGTATGAGTGTGAGTGTGAGTGTGTGTGCGTATGTGTATGTGTGTGTGTGTGTGTGTGTGTGTGAGAGTTTGTGTGTTCTTTTACTTTATTTGATATGTATGCGTGAGTTTGTGCGTGTGTGAGAGTGTGTGTTAGTGAGAGTGAGTGACAAAGTGTGTGTATGGGTGAGAGTATGTGTGTTCGAGAGTATGTGTGCAAGAGTGTGATGTGCGGGTATGTGTGTGTTTTATTTGTTTTTGTGTGCAAGTTATCAATCTCTGCTTCTTGATTTATCTCTAATGTCGCCATGGAAATTTTTGCAGGCAAGGAGCTGGGGAAAGACACCCCGAAGGTGAACGGTTATAGCTTCGTGACAGCCCCATCCCCTATTCCTGGTGTGGATGCCTCACCCCTCATGACGTGGGGTGAGGTAGAAGGAACTCCTTTCCAGCTTGACGGCAGCCAGACCCCACTTTTAAAGAAACACACTCCTGGGCCCACGTACAGGATGCCTAAGCTTCCCAACAGGTTAGTTTCATTATGATGTTGAGGTTACTTTGTTTGCAAGCTAGAATAGAAAGAAACATTGTTGATCATCCATTGTTTGATGCATCTGGGACTACATTATCTCCACAAGATGTATTTGTAGCAGACATTTTTTTTATCAGATTTAGGCATATTAAGAGGTGCCTAATGTAGAGCTGGTAATATAAAATTACACAAAAAAGTAATCTCTTTATTGAATAGCAAGGAAAAACTAACTTTTGACATTCATATAACAATGGTTGATCTCAGAAGGAGGCAGATTCTGTGTGCTTACTCTTGTAGGTAATTTTCTCTTGGATTTTGTAGAAACTACGATGTTTTAATGATTATATGCTTTGATAAACTTAACCATCCCTTTAATTATTTTTCCAGAGAGCGCCTTGGCCTCCAGCTGGCTGAAAAGGCGAGTCAGAAGCACAGGCTCAAAAAGGCCAAGGCTGCCACTGCTACCATGACCTCTTCAAGCACTCCTGGCAGCAGACACACCCCACAGTCATCACTGCAGAGAATCACCTCCATGTCTCCAGCAGCACAGAAGCTTCTCACAAACAAACTAGTAGTTAGACAAGGTACTGACAAAGCCCTGAGAGCCTCTTACACCCCTTCACCAAGCATTCACCGAGGTTCCTCAACGCCAGGAGCTATTACACCAAAGACTGACTATCTCTCCAGTGCACACAGAACACACACACCGAAAATAAAGAAAATAAGAACCCCATCAGCATCTATTGAAGATCCATCCCCTGGGCTCACTGATAATCTACTGAATTTGCCTCGGAGAGCAAAGACAAGCCCTACGCAAGGTAGCAATGAGTCACAGGAAGGGCCAAGAAAGCGTGCAGCTGATTTCTTTTGAGTATGCTGACCACATATATCCATTGAATACTAATATAATTGTCAAATTATGATGCTCAAACTTTGTGTATAAGGTGTGAGACAGTTTGTAAAGCAGAAAGGAGGGGGACTAGAAAGGTTTCATAGTAAGGATATGACCTCAGTCCCAGCTCTGTTGTGCCTTCATCCTCTTCCATTGGCTGTTCGTTCATTATGTACATTAATTATCCTTGCAGTACTTACCTTTCATAGATCTTATCTTAAAGAGCTAAACAGTATTCCTTGGGTTGGTTGGTTTATATATACTGTTGCAAAATTTCCATACTGGAAGCAGTACTATACATCATCTGTGTCATATTACTATGTGTATTTACACATCTCTCTTCAGTGTTTATGAAATAACACTATCATTTCCATTATCTTGAATTTCATTTTGTTGCAATGTTTCCTTTGAATTAGCATCACAGGTGGGATTAATTCAAAATCATCACATAGTCATACTTTAAAGTATGAAAATCTGTATATATATATATTTAGCGAATGAATATTGGTGCAAAATGTCTTGATGTAGTGCGAAAGAAATTCTAAAACTTCTGTTAGCATTTTTCTCCCTTTTGTATAATTTATTTTCTTTATAGTGTCATGTTTCCCAAAGAGAGAAGAAATGGCAGAAACACATTTGATTGCCTGAAGTGCTTTAGTCAAGGGACATGTTGAGAGGATGTTGAAATTCTTCAGTAGTACCAATATAGCACTACTATTTTATCGTAACTTATCATGTACCTAAATGGAGATGGTTAGTGAATATATGACTGGGTTTGTAAGCAAATACTCCACTTTACTTATGAATACATGAATTAAAACAATTCAAATAAGTATGTGTTATGTCCTGTGTTGTGAGGGGCAAAGATATAATACATGTTTGTGAATGTATTCAGTGTACAGGTAACTGCACTGAAATAAGAAATCTGTTTAGATTTATAATTGTTCATATTGCCCTCAGAGTGATAATACATTTATTAATAAAGAAGTCTTTTTTTACCATAAACTTTAGTTTACAAAATGTCAACAAATGACATGTGTAATGACTGCTGAATATTAACTTCTGCAAACATCATGTACACAGTGCAAATACACAAATGAAATGCATATGTACATGAAATTTGCTTGTTCTAGTCTTTAACTTCAGAATTAATGACTTGATTTTTTTGCAGTCATAGCTTGAATGAGCAACTACACATTAAACCTGCATTTATAAAATCTGTCCACTGTAATTTTTGTGATTTTTGTTCCACACATGATTCCACAAGTAAGTCAGTAACCCAACAAGATTTCAACTGATTTCCCCTTCCTGCAATTATGGGGAAACTGTTTTATACTTATTATATTAATAGTGATAATACCACTACTATTTTTTTTTTATCAATGACACTCTGATTATTATGGTGTTATTAAAATATCAATAACAATAAAGAATAAATCAAATAGGAAAAATCAAGGATAAGGGTAAACAAGTAATTGACTTCTCAGTGACTAAGCTCTTGTGAAACCATCTCAGTATAAACACAATGAATGGACTAAACTCACAGTGGATATGGCATGTTTGTCATGTAATCCCAGCACCATGGGTTATGAACAAATAACTCATGCTATCACAGACTCCTGCAACTCCTTTTTATCAGTTGAGAAGCTGGCATTTAATGAGGAATTATAAATTCTTCACTTAGCCCTGGGCAATGATAGACAGATGCGGCAACTAGCTACACCGTGTGAATATTCTGATTTGAATAAATCTACCCAATTCGAGTGGCGGCAAATTTTAGTGAAATTTGTCACTACTAGTCATCATTTGTCAATTATCAAAACAGTGCCTCCTTGAAATCTACAGCGATTGCCGGACCTGGTTGCCCAAGGCTATTGCCAATGCTTTCCATAGCACAGATGACTGAAGCTACTTAAGCAGTATGACAAACAACCTGCAACACAGCTGAATGCAGTCTCGCAAATGGCAATACTATTAAGGCTATATTCCTCAAGTATTGATGTAAAGAAATACTTGTGCTGTTCAAGTGGGTCACTGTTTCACATCTGTATTCCAGCATAGTCACTGTAATGACATGTAACTGCCTTTTCATGTTTTTCAATGGGACAGTGCGATGTACCATGGCGGAATTGGTCTTACAGAGGAACGCGGTGAAAGTATTGATATCTTTGCTGATGGTTTGATGTTGATTTGTGATACACGTTAGGTGTCTGTGTATAATTTTTGTAAAAGTGTATTGCGGAGTTGGCAATTATAGGGCGAGGTTGTCGGTATGTAGTTTAGAAGCCTCCTCCAGTCACGACTCGAATGGTGCGCGGAAAGAAATAACGCTTGTGGATTTGCGCGTTCATGTAGTACGTTTCTGACTGTATGAGTGGCTAGTATTTAAATTTTTAGGAGCTGCAAGAGTGTGGATCTTCCTCACAATACCAGGTGTTTTTGTGTAGGGTTGGTCATGAAATTTACAAATCAGATCATCATTTATTCAATGATGTTTGTTGATGTTGGAACATGCATGTTGGTCCAAAACTGCAACACAGTACTCAAATACAGAGAAAACAGGCCTCCATTGAATATCTGTTTATAAAGAACAAGAAAAGGAGAGACCAAAAACAATACTTTATGGAGTAACAGATATAGATGCAGCGTGAAGAAGAGCCATCCAGAAGAATAGGTTCGATTTCTCAGAACTGCAGTAATCTGGGAAGTCACGCAAGCACACACACCCACACCCACACACAAAACATATATTTTAACAGTCCAGTGTCTTTGGGTTGTCTCTTTCTGCGCGCGTCTGTATAGTCTTTGATATTTATGATGATCTCTGTGTAGTTCCATGTTAAATCAGGGAAGATTACCTATTTGATGAAGTTCACGGCAGTGCGGATGACATGTTTTAAGCTGACCCACGGAATAGAGGTAGTTGGTGTTGGTGCCTCGTCCGATCTTATCTTTGTCTGTTCTAGATTTGAGAAATGTGCGTATACGTTTCTACGAAGTCTGTTGATTTCCTGCCATGATTCACTTGGTCCTGGGATGACTTCTGTGTTATGTGGAGAGGTTTTAGTAAAAAAAAAATAAATTCAGTGTGTTATGTAGTAAAGTGAGGGCTTCCGTCCGTTGATTCCATGGCTTGTTTTAATTTGCTTTCGAGTTGGCTGGAGTACCGTTAGTGAATGTGAAGAAAGTGTTAATGATGTCTATGAAAGTCTTGTAGCTGACGGTCGTTTGTTCGAGAGATGATGACTGGGATGTCGAGTCTAGATGATAAAAGACAAAGACGGCAGTGCAGTTGATGTCAGGAAGGGTGGATGATGAGTCAATCCAGATGAGTGTTATCGGGATGCAGAGGCGGGGTAATATGATTGCAATATGATTGGCCACCCCGTGTACGCCTCCCCCCCCCCCCAATGGTCGTTGATTCGTCGTAATTTACGATATAAACAGACCATTTACGATATCGTAAGACGTTAGTAAAGTTCTTTGTCGACATCCACTTGTTAAAAGTATACCCAGCAGATTTAATGTGTAACTGTACACTATAAATATTCAAGTGGGCAGCCTTAGTTTTTATTTTGGTCTATCCTCCAGATTTATTGTTGTTACCCCCTGTGCCCCCACTAGAAAATTCTCTAGACACGCCCCTGTAGGGATGTATTGGTGACAGAGATTTATTTATTTATTTATTTATTTATTTATTTAGTTTTAATGTAGTCCGTTTGTAGAAGTAAGGACAGGCTTGCAGTTGGAACTTTGAGTTTGTATTCAAGTGATTTTATAGTCTGTCATGGTGTGGTCTATGCTTGACTGGTAACGACCTCTTATTAGAGTTTGTTGTTTTATTTTTACGTATCACGGGCTTTGCAAGTAGGGGGAAAGGGTCTGATGTCAGTGTAAGAGTTAACCGTCTTGTTTGGCTAACCCCGATCAGATTCGCCTTAGGTTAGGGGAGTTGCAGACGGTTGCTTTCTTTCTTCTCTTCTTCTTTCTCTCTCTTTCTTCTCTCTTCTCATCTGTCTGTCTGTCTGTCTGTCTGTCTGTCTGTCTGTCTGTCTGTCTCTCTCTCTCTCTCTCTCTCTCTCTCTCTCTCTCTCTCTCTCTCTCTCTCTCTCTCTCTCTCTCCCTCCCCCTCTCCTCCCTCCTCCCTCCCTCTCCTCCCTCTCTCCCTCTCTCCCTTCCCCCCCCTTCCCTCTCCCTCCCCTCCTCTCCTCCCTCTCCCTCCCCTTCCCTCTCCTCCCCTCTTCCTCCCTCCATCCCTCTCCTCCCTCTCTCCCTCCCTCTCCCTTCACTCACACACACGGACTAAATTAGCAAAATTACCTGCCTCAAAACCGCAACGAAAGCAAAATTATGTTATTGTTCCATTTCCGACAAACTGAAGAAATATCAGTATCAAAAACAAGAATATAAAGATGAATAACAGAAAATAAGCGAGAAAAAAAAATTAATCTCACCTTGCAAGAGTTATGAGAATGTATTAGACAACGAAAACAGAATGTAATTTGAAAAGATGTGCATTTTTGGGCGTAACGGAAAGGAAAATTTTGACGGCGGGAGATTCAAGTCCCGTTATATTCGCCTGAGGCAGTAGCTGCTGGTCTTACGTCTGTGTGTGTGTGTGTGTGTGTGTGTGTGTGTGTGTGTGTGTGTGTGTGTGTGTGTGTATGTGTGTGTTGTGTGTGTGTGTGTGTGTGTGTGTGTGTGTGTGTGTGTGTGTGTGTGTGTGTGTGTGTGTGTGTGTGTGTGTGTGTGTGTGTGTCTGTGTGTTTGTGTTGTGTGTGTGTGTGTGTGTGTGTGTGTGTGTGTGTGTGTGTGTGTGTTTACTTGTGTCTGTCTGTCTTAATAATGCGGCTCATTGAAAGACTAATGAGAATAACTAAATTTGATGGTAATAGCGAGAACATATACAATGCAAATTTGAGAAGGGTATGAAATCTCGGTGATAGGGCATTTAATAGGAATAAATAAAAGATTATTCTACATATATTACAACGGTAATTACTAATCGTGATAATGATAATTCTTTCATACAAATGATAGTTATAATGGAAGTGACAGTAATGGAGACAATAACAATGGTACTATGAGAGTTATAATGCCTATAACACAGAATGGTAATAAATTTTGTGTTTGAAAATAACATAACAAATAACATTGACGATTGTAATATTAGTGATTATATTTGTAACAACAACAATGATGTTGATGGTATAAGAAATAAATATAATGGTAATATAGTGACAATGATGGTAATGTTATACTGATATAGTAGAAATAGTAATTGTAATAATCATGAGAGCTATGATGATGATTAGTAATCAGTGAGGATAATAGTAATAATAATTGTAATAGTAAGGAAAATAACGATTATAATGATAATTATAATGATAATGAAATGATAATGGCAATAACAGTAATGATGATGATAAAAATGATAATGATCATCATAATAATAATGATAATAGTAATGATAATAACATTAATGGTAATAAAATAATGATAATATTGATAATGATAATAATACGATGATAATTATGGTATTGATAATAATAATAATAATACGATGATGATGATATTGATAATGATAATAATAATAGTAATGATAATAGTAATAATAATGATGATAGTAATAATGACAATAATGATAATACTAATGATAAAACCAACAATAATGATAATTATAATAATGATATAATTAGTAATTAGAATGACAATGATAATAATGATAACATGATATGGTGATGATGATAATAATATAATAAGGATAGTAATAATACTGATAATGTTGATAATGATAATGAAAGAAATAATGATGATGATAATAAAAGTTATAGTAATGATAATAACAATGATAATGATAATAGTAATAATGCTAATAAAATAGTAATGACAATAGTGATAATAGCAGCAATAATAGTAATAGCAATAATGAAAATGATAACAGTAGTAGTAATGATAATGACACTGATAATGATCATAGTAATAATTATTAAAGACTAAGACTAACAATAACAATAATAACAATAAAATCAAATAAAAATAATAATAAATGATAATAAACAATAAATAATAACAATAAATAATACTTTTAAATATAATAATATTAGGGAATATGAGGCACTGGTTTCTCCCTCTTTCACCCTCCTCCTGCCTTTCGTCTCTTCTCTCCCTTTTCCTTTTCCTCTCCCTTCTCCGCACTCTCACCCCCAGGTCTTCCAGTTCACTCTTCCCTCCTCACTTTAAATCCTACATCTCCCCCCTCCCACTTCCCTCCTCTTCCTCCTTATACTCCTCCACCTCCTTTGCTCCCTTACTTCTTTCCTCCCTCTCCCTTCTTCCTTTTTTTCCTTCCCTCGCTTTCCCTTTACCTATCCCATTTTCTTCTTTAAGTCTCCTCCATTTTCCGTTCCATATTTCCCTTTTCTCCTTAAGCCCCTGAAACTCCTCCCTTTCTCCCCCACCCTTTCCTTCCTCTTCAGTATCTATGTTGTCAGTTATCACCTTATTTTACACCAAAACGTAATAACTTCCATTAAAATACAGTTTTCTCGAAGGCGCAGTCACATTTTATTTCAGGCGTAAAATGTTAGCTTAACCTAAGAACGGACGGAGGAAACACGAGCAGATTTATTATATAAAATACAATCATGATGATGATAGTGATATTGATAATAGCAAAAACAATAATAAACCAGTGATAATAAGAAATGATGCTAATGGAAATCATAATAATGAGCGATGACAACAACAACAAACAACACAAGAAAAAAGAAATCTTGAAATCCTATTTGTTACTCGTCAAGATTATCGCAAACCGTTGCATCATTGCCATATTGTTATAGTGAAACCAACTCGCTGTTTTCGACCTTCCTTGAAACCAGGATTTCAGCGCATCCCGCCTTGAGGTGAATGGAAAGCGATCCTCTATGTAAACCGGTCTTTACACACAGCAAGTTCAGCGAACATTTATAGGACGCTGTTGCTGCTGCTGCTTAGTATTTTAGATAATTTACCATTTATCATGTGGGTTATTTATGATGTCCTGTCGTCGAGGAGGATTAAATATGTTTATTTATTCATGAGAATAGATTATATATATGGTAGATTATTTTATTATACCTCGAGGTAGATTGAATATGTTTATTTATTCATGAGAATAGATTATAAATATCAGTTTTCATTTTTTTTTTAATACTCTACCGGTTACCCAATTTCTTGTTTTCATCAGGTTGTTTCACTTATCTATGTTTGTATAAATTAGAAGAATGAAAATAGTGCAATGAAATAGCCTATAATAACCCCATAATTGAGACGTGGCACCTTTCTTTCGTCCGCAGTGGGGCATTGGGTTAACCTACCGCCTCAGTGTCCTACATATTCCCCCGGCGTAAACACCTCGCTCCTTCTCCTGCTTCCGCGGTCACACAATCCGTAACATTGTTGAGTTGTCCGAGCATTAAGTGATGGGCATATCACAACATGGTAACGACGACTCGAAGAAAGATTTCTGTAAAAAGTAAAGAGATATAATAAGACTTGTTTATATAGAATAATTAGCTGTAAATAGCTGTACAGTGAAGCACTGTGACCGGAGCCGTTTAATACAGTAATTCGAGAAAAGGTCGGTTCCTGAGTTCATGCAAGGACGAGGATGGCGTCCGGTCGGCTTCTCGTGCTTCTGGCAACAGTTAGTGTGATCCTGCAAGCCGGGTCTTCCGTTATAGCTGAAGCCGACGATCATTATTCAGGTTTGGAGACCACAGCGGGAGAGGACCTGCCTGGCGAAGACCTCGGCGCTTCCTCTGACGAACTGGTTGTAAGTCAGGACGAATATGACGATGACCAAATTTCCGACAGTTCTGATAATGATACGATAAGCGACCCAGGGCGTCAGAATAAGCTCATTACGAACGACGACACCTTCACGACCTCGCTCCTGATGGACATTCGGGACATCCTTTACCGGGACAAGGAGCAGAGCAGCCCGCCGGAAGCCGTGACTCAGCAGCTGGAGGACCTGAGCGAGAGCACCAAGGACGCCCTCGAGGGCATGGCGAGCAGCGTCGCGCGCCTGCGGGAAAACACCGACCAGAAGGTGAGTATTGTGCTCGAGACATTCTCCACCCTCAAGTTGCTCGTCCTGAGCCAGGGCGAGCAGCTGAGGGCGCTCGCGGGGAGGCTGGAGGCGGTGGAGAGCAAGACCACCTCCTTCCACACGGAGATGCGGAGCCTAAAGCGCTCGGTGGAAGAGGTGGAGCTGGCGGTGCGAGAGCGCAAGGCCCAGGCGGACGTGTACGCCTACTTCGGCTCCAACCACCTGGACGACGCGCCGCCCGAGCCGCCCGCCAACCTGACGGACCTCGACGATCGCATTGGGACGGCGAGCCACTCGCTCGACGCCCTCACGTCCAAGATGCAGCTCATCTCCAGCGCCGTCGACACCATCAGGGGCGAGCTGCAGAAGGTGCAGCTGAACGTCACGGACCTCGAAGTAGCTCCCTCGGCCGAGGAAGGAGTCTCTGAGACAACGCCTGGCCCCGCGGCGTGCGAGTGCGACACGGCAGAGCTGGAGGTCTCCGTGGCCAATCTCCGCGAGGATCAGCGCGAGCAGAAGGAGAGCCTGCAGGAGATCACGAAGAAGGTGGAGGACCTCGCCGGCCTCCACGACTCGGTGCGGCGCGTGAACGGCCTCGTCACAGCGCACGGAGGCCGTCTGAGGGAGGCCGAGGAAAAGCTGCAGGGCATGACGACGGTGAAGAAGGACGTGGTGGCCGTTCAGTCCAGCCTCCAGCACCTTCAGGAGGAGATGATGGACAGCAAGAGAACTGTCATCACCGGGAACGGCACCGTCAGCGTCAGCATGAATAGTAAGAAATCAGTAACGTTTTCAGATATAGTAAGCACTTCAGTAATATAAGAACATCTACCAGCATACACACACACACACACACACACACACACACACACACACACACACACACACACACACACACACACACATATATATATATATATATATATATATATATATATATATATATATATATATATATATATATATATATATATATATCAACAACTAAAGATATTACACAAACAATGCAAGCTATATCACGGGGGTTTAATAAAGTGCCTGAATATTTTGAGAATTCTGTTTTTGGCCAAGTGACTATTTCATTCAACGGTTTATATATATATATATATATATATATATATATATATATATATATATATATATATATATATATATATATATATATATGCACAGTGCGTACTGGGCAGACTTTATCTTATGCACTTTGAATCTAATACCATCATATTGAAGAATTTTCCATTTTTCATATTCCATTTATCAGTATCTCGACCATACTTAACTTAAATAACCGGATTCATGGGGTCATTATGAGTGATGCAAAGTAAAATAGACCTTATGAGTCTTTTGATAATGAAAATCACTCAAAGACTGAATGAATGAACAATGATATAACATTGAATAAAACCTATCGGAAAATATAACAAACTTTTAGAAATAAATGCATATACAATTAGCATTTATTTCTAAATGAATAAAAAATGTACAGCAGGCTTTTAGACATCAGCGAAACCTATCAGAAAGAAAGTATAGGTTCGTGTCTATGTAGAGAGTTCCTTGTGTGGACAATACATCTTACTCAATATATATCTTATAAACGAAATTCTCTCCCTTACATGTAATCGTAAAATAGACCATTTACCCAGGATTAAATAGAGGTAAATAAAAGTTAAGTAGCAAAACAATGCATGAAAATCCACGCCAATGCAGAGCTGTGCGTGTAAATAAAAGTTAAGTAGCAAAACAATGCATGAAAATCCACGCCAATGCAGAGCTGTGCGTGTAAATAAAAGTTTAATAGCAAAACAATGCATGAAAATCCACGCCATAGCAGAGCTGTGCGTGTAAATAAAAGATTAATAGCAAAACAATGCATGAAAATCCACGCCACTGCAGAGCTGTGCGTGTAAATAAAAGATTAATAGCAAAACAATGCATGAAAATCCACGCCATTGCAGAGCTGTGCGTGTAAATAAAAGATTAATAGCAAAACAATGCATGAAAATCCACGCCATTGCAGAGCTGTGCGTGTAAATAAAAGATTAATAGCAAAAACAATGCATGAAAATCCACGCCACTGCAGAGCTGTGGGGTGAAATAAAAGATTAAATAGCAAAACAATGCATGAAATCCACGCCATTGCAGTGCTGTGCGTGTAAACAAAACAATATGAAAATCCACGCATGCAGAGCTGTGCTGTAAATACAAAACAATGCATGCAAAACAATGATGCAAAAATAAAGATTAATAGCAAAACAATGCATGAAAAACGCCATACAGAGCTGTGGGTGTAAATAAAAGATTAATAGCAAAACAATGCATGAATATCCTCGCCATTGCAGTTAATAGCAAAACAATGCATGAAAATCCACGCCATTGCAGTTAATAGCAAAACAATGCATGAAATCCACGATTGCAGTTAATAGCAAAACAATGCATGAATATTCACGCCATTGCAGAGCTGTGCGTGTAAATAAAAGATCAATAGCAAAGCAATGCATGAAAATCCACGCCATTGCAGAGCTGTGCGTGTAAATAATAGATCAATAGCAAAACAATGCATGAAAATCCACGCCATTGCAGAGCTGTGCGTGTAAATAAAAGATCAATAGCAAAACAATGCATGAAAATCCACGCCATTGCAGAGCTGTGCGTGTAAATAAAAGATCAATAGCAAAACAATGCATGAAAATCCACGCCATTGCACAGGTGCGTGTAAATAAAAGTTTAATAGCAAAGCAATGCATGAAAATCAACGCCATTAAAAGATCAATAGCAAAACAATGCATGAAAATCCACACCATTGCAGAGCTGTGCGTGTAAACAAAAGATTAATAGCAAAACAATGCATGAAAATCCACGCCATTGCAGTTAATAGCAAAACAATGTGAAAATCCACGCCCAGAGCTGTGCGTGTAAATAAAAAGATCAATATCAAACAATGCATGAAATCCAATAGCAAAGCAATGCATGATATCCACGCCATTGCAGAGCTGTGCGTGTAAATAAAGATCAATTACAATGCATGAAAATCCACGCCATAGCAGAGCTGTGCGTGTACAATAAGATTAATGCATGAAAACGCCATAGCCGTCAAATAGCAAAAAAATGCATGAAAATCCACGCCACTGCAGAGCTGTGCGTGTAAATAAAAGATAAATAGCAAAACAATGCATGAAAATCCACGCATTGCAGTTAATAGCAAAACAATGCATAAAATCCACGCCATTGCGAGCTGTGCGTGTAAAAAAGACTAATAGCAACATTGCAGTTATAGCAAAACAATGCATGAAAATCCACGCCATTGCAGTTAATAGCAAAACAATGCATGAATATCCACGCTATTGCAGATCTGTGCGTGTGGCCGTACAAGCGAGGCGGCGGCGGCTGCTTCCACGTGCACACGGACTCGCGCCTCAGCTGGTCGGACGCCCGGGATCGCTGTCGCCAGATGCAGGGCGACCTGGCGGCGCCGAAACGCTACGGCCTCTTCAGACAGTTCATGATCGAGCAGAGGCGTGAGTTTCAGCCGAGTTGGGTGTCCAGGGCGCGGGCGGGGGTTTTGTTTTCATTATCATTATTATATGTTGTACTATAATGATATTAATAATGATAATTAATGATGATAAAAATTTATGATAGTAACAATAATTAATGATAATAGAAATTTATGATAGTAAGAATAATTAGTGTTAATAAGAATAATGATAGTAATGAAAGTAATGATGATAATGATAATGATAACAATAATAATAATGATGATAATGATATAACATAATAATATAATGATGATAATGATAATGATAACAATAATAATAATGAATAATGATAATGATAACAATAATATAATATGATAATAATAATGATAATAATAATAATAATGTGAAAAAAAATGAAATGATGATAATAATAACAATTATAATAACTATAATAGTGATAATGATTATTGTCATTATTATTATTTTCGTATATATATACATATATACATACATATAAATAGATAGATAGATAGATAAATAGATAGATAGATAGATAGACAGATAGATAGATAGACAGATAGATAAACAGATAGGCAGATAATAGATAACAGATAGATGATAAACAGATAGATAGATATATATATAGATAGACAGATAAACAGACAGACAGACATATTTATATCTCCCCCTTTCTCCATCGCCTTCCGCCGCCCGCCCGTGGCTCCCTCCGCAGTGGGCCGCGCCTACACCTACTGGCTGGGTGCTTCTGACGCCGAGGAAGAGGGCGCGTGGCTGTGGGTAGATGGGCGCCATGGCTCTCGGGCGTGTGGGCGTCCAACCAGCCCAACGAAGGGCGCGCCGCCAACTGCCTCGCCGTGAAGCCCGCTTATCGGTTTGTGGCATCCGACGAGGAGTGTCACGCCGGCAGGTATTTCATCTGCCAGCAGGAGGGGACGTAGGGTGGTGTGTGTGTGTTTGTTGTGTTTGTTTGTCCGTTGCGTTTGGTCTGTGTGTTCGCTTCTCTGTTTCTTTTTGTTTTTATTTCTCCTTTTTTCTTTCTTTATTTCTATTTCTTTTCTCTTTTCTCTCTCCTGTCTCCTTCTCTCATCCTCCCTCTCTTCTTCTCCCTCTCCCTCATTCGTACGATCTCTTTTTCCCTCCTTTATATCATATCCCTCTCCCTCACCCTCATCCTCCTCTACCTCTTCTCCTTCTCCCTCTCTCACACCATCTCTTTCTCCCTCTCCTTCTCCCTCTCTCACACCCTCACCCTCATCTTATCTTCTCCTCTCCCTCTCTTTCTCCTCTCTCACACCTCATCTTCATCTTCTCTCTCCTCTCTCACACCCATCGCTTTCATCCTCTCCTTTCCTCTCTCACACCCTCACCCTCATCTTCATCTTCTCCCTCTCCCTCTCCCTCTCCCTCTCCCTCTCTTCTCCTCATTCCATCTCTTTCTTCATATTCTTAGCAGATAATAAAAGAATGTTTGTGTGCGCAAGGGGGACATGCGTGAGACAGTGTAATTTAAGTTAATTTCGTTAAAAAAATGTAAATGGTGTAAAAATCATCATAATGGCTACTTTGCAAAAGAGTTATCATTAAAATTGACCTGGAAAGTAAATCAGTGCTTTGAAAATCAATCATAAAGTCAATTTAATCAGAATAACTCTTCACTGTCAAAAGTGAACATTATGATTTACGATTTTCACCCTAAAAGCAAGTGAAGCAAATCGCAGTTGCCAGTGAGTGTGTAAGTGAGTTAATTTTTTGTAATATATGTAGGTTTAGAATTGTGTCTCTGTGCCATACTATTATTTATATATTTATTAATTCTTACTTCGTAATGTTTTCTTTTTATACCAATAGTTGTTAAGTTTGTCTGAAATACAATAAATGTGTATTCTTGGCATTATGATTGATTATCCTTTAGTAATAATCGACTAATACCACACACACACGCAGCACGCACGCACGCACGCACGCAACACACACACACACACACACAACACACACACCACACACACACACACACACACACACACACACACACACACACACACACACACACACACACACACACACACACACACATATAAATTGAAAATGTATATTATAATACACAATGACTTCCAACAAAGCGAAAGCAATTTCTCTCTCAGCTTAATAAAAGTCATTTTTGATATGAAGAAATTGCCCAGATAAAATTTCCTCACTATAACCAGTATGTATATACATATATATATACATATATATATATTATATATATTATATATATATATATATATCTATATATATATATATATATATATATATATATATATATATATATATATATATATATATATATATATATTATATAGAGAGAAGAGAGAGAGAGAGAGAGAGAGAGAGAGAGAGGGAGAGAGAGAGAGAGAGAGAGAGAGAGAGAGAGAGAGAGAGAAAGAGAAGAGAGAGAGAGAGAGAGAGAGGAGAGAGAGAGAGAGAGAGAGAGAGAGAGAGAGAGAGAGAGAGAGAGAGAGAGAGAGAGAGAGAGAAAGAGAAAGAGAGAGAGAGAAGAGAATGAGAGAGAAAAAGAAATGAGAGAGAGAGAGAGAGAGAGAGAGAGAGAGAGAGAGAGAGAGAGAGAGAGAGAGAGAGAGAGAGAATGAGAATGAGAATGAGAGAGAAAGAGAAAGAGAAGAGAAGAGAAAGAGAGAGAGAAGAGAGAGAGAGAGAGAGAGAGAGAGAGAGAGAGAGAGAGGAGAGAGAGAGAGGAGAGAGAGAGAGAGAGAGAGAGAGAGAGAGAAAGAAAGAGAGAGAGAGAGAGAGGAGAGAGAGAGAGAGAGGAGAGAGTGAGAGAATGAGAATGAGAGAGAAGAGAAGAGAATGAGAAAGAGAGAGAGAGAGAGAGAGAGAGAGGAGAGAGAGAGAGAGAGAGAAGAGAGGAGAGAGAGAGAGAGAGAGAGAGAGAGAGAGAGAGAGAGAGAGAATGGGAAGAGATAAAAAGTGAGACTGCGAAAGAGAGAGAGAACGCTGTTGTTTGTGTACAAAACACAGTACATTCATTAATGAGATACACTGATATAAAATATCGAATTACCTAAGTTTCCCTTTTCTCTTCGTTTTCCCTATGTCCACATCTTCGTCAGTACATGTCTTCTGCTATCTGTGTATCTATCAATCTATCTATCTTTCTTTTAGCTGAAGGAAACTTGCCTGTCTATCTGTCTGCTATCTGTTTATCTGTCTGTTTATCTGCGTCTATCTTCCTATTTATATATCTATCAACTTATCTATCTCCGTTTTCTTCTATCTCTATATCTATCTATCACTCAGTCAATCCATTTAGCTATTTATCTGTGTACCTATCTACCTGTCTATTAATCAGTCAGTTATTCAGATAATTTGTTTATCTGTCAATACATCTTTCTCGTATATGTCTATCTGTCTGTCTGTCTGTTAGCACGTCTGTGTATATATTTATCCAACTATCTTTCTGTCTTATTATGTATCTATTTACTTATCTTTTTATTAGTTACTCTAGATATGCATCTACCTGTCTTTTGTTAAAGAAAAAAGACGCAATCCTTAAGTATATAACAAAACAAATTACCTTTTTTTATATACATTTACCTCTAACAAGGAGAATACTACATTCCCAACGAACTCCATAGAAAACGCAGCCTTTCCTCGCCGGTATGTACGTCTTTGTGTCATAAGCGACGACTCTACCAAAACAAACATGGCGTCTGCGCTCGAGCACTTCGTCAATAATGTCACTTCTCTCTCCTCACAAGGTGCGTATTTACACATTTTTTGGGTATTTTCAACTTCAAGAAAGTAGGTGGATTACTTGCTTTTAATGGAGTAAGAGAGACTTTGCTAAATATGGCTGAGTTGAAGCGGAAGCACCGGTTTGAGATCGTCTTCGATTTGTGACAAGGAAACGGAATCAAACTTTACAATTTAGTTTTAGATAGATTTTGTGGGATAATTCAGTATGTCAAGACTTTAGTCATAGTTTTTTAATGGTAAATCAAAGAAGAGCTTTTATTTTTATTAAAAGTAGAACCGAAAGTTATATTAGAAAAGGTCAAATTTAATTGATTTACATGCGGCTTAGTTTATACGCCGTTGTGACAAACTCGCCAACAGTGGCTTTGAAATTATATCAGCCGAATCTTGTCTAAATCCTCTTGAATATTGTGACCTGTGAGGAAAGGCCTGTAATCTCAAATTTACCTTACAATTGGCAAAGTGTCACACACTTGCTGTTGCTGCTGTGCTCCAGCAAAGGCCAGGAAACTTTCTTCTTGTATATTCTGGCACATTTAACTCTACATTCATTCTTTATGTAATGTTAGATTACCTGGGAGGTCTATGAACTACTCATCTCTTGCCAGGAATACATGCTAGAAGTTGGTTGTCTTTTACGAGTGCACCAAATGATGCAAAGCCCATGGTGTGGGCTAGCGACAGATTTCCATAGTGTTGGCAGCATTTACAACATTATTTAAAAGAAATTATATTTAATGAAGACTTTATTTTATATAATACATACTAATGGGTTTAATAAAAAAATATTTTGTTTGCACTTTTAATGAATTGAATATAATGGAAAGAAGAAAGGAATTGTATCATTTAGGATCTTTGATCTTAACTTGGGGAATTGTATTGAGTGTTTTGTAATTGAAGCTCAGTTTTATGTCTTTGGTTAGAAACTTCTTTGTTTAGCAAAGCTTTCCTGTTAGTAGGTATTTTAGGAAATGCATTAACATCAAACTCTGATAATTTGATCAGTCTGTGTATGCTTCTCTAATTAGAAAACACAAAGTTCGGGTGGTTGACATGATTCTTTGGATGAAATGGTTGATGTTGCATCCTTAGAAATCTTACTGTATAATGACTTTATTTTATTTTATTCAGCCATTACATATACAGGGCAAATATTTTCTTCTGAGACAGAAGTTACATTGATGTATAATCTTTTGCATGACAACTGTATTTTGTTCAAATAGAGGCTCCTTGTTATAATCTTTACTTATGTACCACTTGCACATTTTGATAAACAATAAATTAGTGTGAATGCCATGGTATGTTTCAAACTAGAAACTGCTGCATATAGTGTTTGTCTCAGTCTTTCTTATTTCTTTTAATTGATACAATTAATGATATTTACTTTTGAGTTCAGCTTTATCTCAAATATTAACCTACATATATAAAGTTAAACCTCTGTCAGGTTAAGCATTAACCTAATGGCACTGGGTATTCATGCTTGTTTACTGTCATTTTCTCATGTGAATTATGTTTGTACATGGATGGCTCCATAAGTTCTCAGCCACCAAGGTGCCTACATGTCCGCAGGTGATTTCCCCTCTCCTCGAGTTTTCAGGATTTTTTTTCTAATGCTATTGATATCAGTGTTATTATTGGTGTTGCCCTTATGATTGTTATAATGTTATTAACAATACTAATAGTAATAAAAAAGTACAATATTATCTTTCTGAAAGACAAGGAAAAGGGTAAACAAGTGAACTAGGTTATTTACTTGGTTACTTGGTGATGGGCTTGTTTTGTTTGTGATGTAATATTATGCAACAGTCTAGACTTTGTAGATAGGCATAAGTTGTGTACAGCCGGCCCACCTGCTGTGAGTCATGATGTGTTTACACGTTATAGGCCGTTATGTCTAGAAGGCTATAGCTGCCACCTACGAGTGGCTCTTGCAAGGGCCATCCTAAGGCACCACCCAACAGGACTAATAATTGACTTCTTGATGATTAAGTACTTATGAAGTCGTCTATGTGGAAAGACAATCAATAAGCAGAAAGGCACTGGACATGGCATGTATTCTTGTCATCCCTTCAGCAGGAGTTAAGACAATAGTTTGTCATCAG